ACAGTATTACTGTATTTTATTATTGATAGGAGAAGCGCATGTCGTCTAACACATTGAATGCTCTGCAGGGGAGAGACATTCACGTAATAGATGCCTGTTTTGTGTTAGCACTGGTTAGGGGGAGAGCAGAGAAAGAGAGAGAGAGATAGAGAGGAGTTGGTAGTATTGCCTGAGTCTACAAGTTTTCATATGAAGTGCAGAGACCAGTGCACACCCGGACTAGTTGTGAACAGTGTGTGGCTGACAGTCGGTCGACAAACTACTCACTCAACAACAGTATAGAGTTTTGTATGTATGAGAAGAGAGTGCCGTTTTGTTTCGTTCAGTAATATAACAAAAATTTTTAATATACCAGTGCTCTCACACACACACAGACTGTTTAGCTCACATTTGCTGTCCATACAGTAATAGTACACAAGTAGTACTACTGAATATTCAATGACAATATACCTATTGTTTAGAGAATGAATAAGAGGAAAGTTGGTGTCTATGTTGTTGTATTGTCGACACACACACACTCTTTTCACTGAAATTTTTTATGTCCCATGTTTTACAACTTTGTTTCCCAAAAACTAAACTAAAAATTGTTGATAAATACAGTATAAAGTTTTCAATATATATATATATATATATTTAGTACTGTATATGATATTAAATATAGTGTGGACTTTCACTGATTGTATGTATTGTCACAAATCAACACTCGTGTCAATCAACTAAACAAAACTTTTTTTTTTGTTGTTAATATTTTTTGTGTTGACATCGCTTTTGTGACAAAAAAAAAAGTTTTTTTCGGTGTCTATTATTTTTTTAAATTTTTTGTTTTGTTATGAATACTGACTCCGGTGTGTGTTGTCATCATTACGAGACTCAACGCATGTATACATAAAATAGTTTTTATGATAAACTATATATAATAGACGTTTTTTTTGCAAATTAATTATATCTCTATTAAAAAGCAATTGTTTTCAAATTAGTGATAAAAAGTGAGTTTTTTAAATGTATTGTTTTGTTTAGTGTGAGTGTGTATTACCGTATTTGTTGTACTCAATACTGTATTTTTTTCACACGAGAAGTGACTGACTATTCAAAACATTTTTTTGTTGTCTCGTTATCACTGAATTAATTGATAAATAATTAATAATATATAAAAAAAATAAGTTTTTAAGTTTTTATCAATGAATAAATATCGGCGACTATTGTCAATGCGATTACATTAATCTTTAATTTACGGTAAGAGAGATAATAATAATAATAATACAGTAATAAACTGGTTATGTTTTTGCAATTAAATAAATAAATATAATATAATATATAAATTAAATTCCTTTATATTATATATTTGCTGTATACTTGTTTGTTTCATTTACTTTTAACTAAATAATTAATTAGATAAATACCATTAGCGTTATTACACCAGTAATTATCGATCATTAATAAAGTTTATTTTTCCAACAAAAAAAAGTAAACTACTTTTGTTGTTGTTTTTTCCTACTAATCCTCAAGAGATGGTTAGATCACCATTTGTTGTCTAACTATTTAGTCTCTCATTTATATATTTGTATCACAGCTTTAGCTAATGGTTTTCACCTAAAAAAACATTTTATGCACAAAAAAACAAATTTTTTACGCTAAAAAAATCCAAAATGCAAACAACTGTTTGCTGACTATTTGAATAGTAAAACTAAATTTAAAAATAAATAAATAAAAACAAAACCACACATAATTTGATAAAATAGTTTGACTTAAACTACAAGAGTTTAAAAGACAATTGATTTGATTCAAGAGAGAGAGAGAGAGAGAGAGAGAGAGAGAGAGAGAGAGAGAGAGAGAGAGAGAGAGAGAGAGAGAGAGAGAGAGAGATAAAACCAATAGTCATCCAAACTAACATCTATTGTTTGCCTATTTATCTAAACTTATAGTAAAACTTAAGACAATTTTTATATATGTATGTTATCTCTCTCTCTCTCTCTCTCTCTCTCTCTCTCTCTCTCTCTCTTCTCGTTAGATAATAAATTGTTTATTTAGTGTGTCGTTGATATATTTATTGACATAACACCACTCACACACAGATACAGTACATACACATACAGTATATACACTATTGATTTATTCAATAAAATAAATACACTTATGTCAATTTGAGGGGTCCTATTAATTGTAATATATTACGGCTCCATAACTGCTATTGCCATTAATAGATATCTAAAAATTTTTATGTGAATTAAACTTATGTCCAATTTTGTGTTGAATTGAGTAAACTTAGTTTTTATCAATAATATTAATATACTTTGTATAAGTTACTGTATATATATATATATATCAATATATTCAGTACAAGAAGTAAATTTTTTGTTTTTAATATATTATTAAACATATGTTATTTGAAAAGCGATTGGAGTTTTTTATTTGGAGTGATTGATAACTTCGATATAACTAAAAAACAAAATTGATTCAATAATTATATTGTTTGACATAAGTGTCTAATGTTTGAATTTTTTTTTGTTATATCAAAACACATTGCAAAACATACATATTTTTCTCATAAATACTCTTATTATTGAGTGATATACACATTATTAGTGATTATATTTGATATGATAGATATTGCTTTGCTAAACATATTTTATTAGATATAACTATAAGTATATTAAATAAAATTTACTGTTGCAGTTAAGCAGTTTATATCGCATATATATATATATAAGATATTTATTGCAAAATAATATATAAATTATATGATAACGTATTAGTTGAAAAATATTTCTTATCCAATAAAATAGTTTCCTGTTTTTTCATTGATTTTACCAAATTATATATAAAATGTGAAACATTTGGGAATTGCTTTTATATAAATTAAATATCATATGAATGCTCAATAAAATAATATAAATTAAATAAAAAAATATATATATAAAAAGATATGGTACTAAATATATAAAAATGATTTTGAAAACATAATTTATAGCATTATTACTATACTTTAAGATAGATATAAAATTTAATGTACATTATGTGTATTATTCTCTGTGTATATATTTTTAGATCACGAATATATTGGTCTTTATATGTCATATCAATGAAACACACATCCAAATGATTAACTGTTTTTAATGACAAAATTAGATATCTATATACACTATATATATATATAAATAAATGAAATAAAATGAAATATAATGTATTATTGAAGCCGACAGTGAATGTCATCTACAAAAATGACAAAACAAAATCTAAACGGAAATATTATTAGCTAACAAAAATTAGTAAATTTAATAACATTACAATGTTTAGCTATTGTCTCATAATTTTACACATAAATTTGTTGGCTATGGTCTCTCTCTCTCTCTCTCTCTCTCACACACACACACACACACACACACTCACTCACTCGCCATATATGCCATTAGCACTGGCAGTAGTGGCTTGAGTTCAGGTGTGGCTCATATGTTCATAATTCATATCCATTGTGTTGTTGTATAAATGTTATGCATTTGAGTGATCATTTCAATGTATGTGTGCTATCGATCCAAACAATATATCCCATTCAAAATACTACACACAATATATAAGTTGGCTTACAATACTGTATAACATATTATATAGTTGTATATAATATAGCAGTAATTTTATTATTGTATTTTCCAAACAGACATATCGTGTAAAAAATAAACTTATATTTTATATTAGATTTATAAAAATATTTTTTCTCTGTAAACTGAAAAAAAAACAATTTTATGAATTGATGTGAACTAAAAATGTAATAAATCATAGGGATATTGAATATACATTTCAAACTATATCACTATATGTCTCTCATATAAGATTTCCAATGAGATAATGCTTGCAATTTTCAAATGTTATGAAGAAAAAAAAAGTTTATCACTGATAGAAAATATAATATTAGATACAAATAATAAAACATCGTTAATATATATGATATTAGATCTTTTAAACAGATTTTTGTTGAGAAATTAATTATAAATTCAATAATTAATGTTAAAGAGCTACTAATGTTAGATTATTATATATATAAGTTATTACTCATTATTATATTGAGCGTCTTTTAAGTATACTCCCATTGTAATACATAATTAATTTTTTATGTGTGTATATTTAATAAAAATATATCTAAATATAAATTATATTAATCATATAATTTTTATATATATATCATTAATATTATTTTTCAAAATTGTAACTATAAAAAATGATGTTGATGAAATATAATTTTTAACAATTTTTTTGTTTTTTATATTGTATTATATAATATTTTTTTTCTGGCGACTATCCATCAAATATCTGGTTTTAATGACTCGGATATATATTTTGAAAGCTCGAAAAAATTGTCTTTCAAACAAACAAAAAATGTTTTTCTCAATCATTTTTTTCGTATGATATATATAACTAAGTGGTGATGCCTTTCATACCATTTCACTCATAAGATTTCAAAATCAATAAACAGTCGACTCCTCAGTGTATATATATATATATGTTGTTGTTGTTTCTTGTATTTAGTATTACTGTAAGTAATGGCTAAAAATTGACTCCAAAGCCCCCAAACAGTTAGATTGAAAAAATAATGTTAGAAGAAATTACATGAAATGTATGTCCATTTCTAAGGAAATAAAAGTTTTGTTGTGTTTTTTTAGGTTTACTTTGTCTTTCAAAATATATACTAACATTTGAACTATACTTAAGAATATATAGTTTAATAAAAATATACAGAATATTTTAATATTAAATATATTTAAGTTCAGTATATACAGTATTATATATACTGTATATATATATATTGCGTGACATAACATATTGTGTTTCAAATCAAAACTTGTGTCAATCAACTAAATAATATTATTTTTGATGTTTTGTTTGTTTGTTTGTTTGATTAGAATTATGAACTTAAATGTTATTATTGACTTATAGAAAAAAATAAGTTTAAAATAATCTTAATGTACATTAATAATAATTATTTGATTTTATTTTCACACTTTATATAGATTTACCTGAAAAAAAGTTGGTCTAAACAACAAAAACAATGCAATCACTGGTCAATTACTGGTTGTTTGCAGTGATTATTCACTCATCATATCTGATGTCAAATAATTTGGTCGATGGCTTGGATTTTACTAAACGACATAACGGTATGTAATATATTTAATTAGATGTCATTTTGACAATCAAAGAATTTAACAGAAAAAAAATCATAAGAAATTTTGTCAAAAAAGATTTATATATATATTTATATATATATATTATTTTATTTTGTTATTAACATTTTATATTTGAGTTATGCTATTATTATTAAAATACTTTAGTATTAAATTTACTAAATGATAAAAGATTTTAAAAATAATTTTTTATTAACTATTAAAAAAATTATTTGAAAGCACTTTAATAAAAAAATAATAATAAATTTTTATAACAATTTATTGATGCACAATGTTTATCAATACATAGTATCATATTAAAGCCAACATTAAGTTTGTAAATTATTTTTATAATTTAATTGCTAAGAGTTATACTAAATATCTAAAAATAAATCAGTTAATAATTTTTATGTGAATAATAAATTATTTGTTTCGTTAAAAATACAAATCTCTGTAAATATGTTATATTTAGTAATAATTCTTAATGATGAGTAAAATTGTAATTATAATTAATTAGTTATAACAACAATATTTGTTTCAAAATTTAGGATTTAAGTCAAATTATGGTTTCCTTTAATATATATTTTTTTGGATAGAAATAAAACTTTCTCTAATTATTTGTGGCAATGACTTCATTGATAAAAACTAAGCATTTGTTGTGTACTGTATTTTCATATTAACAGTATATTTGCTAAAAGCGACACATTTTTTCTCGCAATTTATGATTTATTTTTAGCGTCCGTCCAATACATTCATAGCTTTCATTTCACATTAACCTCAAGAAGAAAAAAGATTTGTCACATCTTTTTTAGAGTTTTTTTATATCCTTTCGACTCAAATGCTAGACTCAGTCAGTCTTATAGCTTAAGAGTAAAAGTCAAATCATTTGCCAAAAAATTGGGAAACAATTCAATGTTCTGTAATGTCTGTCAAACCCGAGCCCTCATATCCTTTCATATCCTTCCTTCTTAACGCTTAATATATATATATATATATATATATAATATATAACTCTTTTTGAAGAGTAAGACAGAAAAAAGTCTTGTGTGTGTGAGTGGGTGAGAGAGAGAGAGAGAGAGACTGATTGAGATAAATAGCAGTCTTGAAATTTAATAACGAAAAAAGTAATAAAGCGATGAATGAAAATCTTGTTTATACCGGAATTAATTTTAATCCTATTTTTTCTATACGACAATAACAACAACAATAACACATACACATACACATACACATACACATACACATACACATACACATACACATACACATACACATACACATACACATACACATACACATACACATACACATACACATACACATACACATACACATACACATACACATACACATACACATACACATACACACACGTATTAGAGTAAAAAACTAATCTTTAATTTTGTAAAATATTATTATCAAATAACTTAGTTTAAGTAAAAATAATTTATTGCCTACATTTTAGAAAAATTTAATTACACAATATCTAAATATTTCAAATTTTTAGTTTAGTTTGTGATTGCGATGACATTATATTGTAAATCATATATATATATATTTTTGTCATATTTAATAGTCTGTATTAAAAGAAAACATGCGATAAATTTTTAGAGATTTTGTATGCGATTTGTATACATATTTTTTGTCTATCTCTCTGTTTAGTGTAAAAAGCATTTCCAAAACATGCGTTTTTGTAAACGCTTTGTAAATGAAGCGATACTTGAATCCCAACACAAGTATAGCATTTCACTCCCAAACAACCAAAAAATATCATCTCTTTTTTCAGTTGACTGTTAGTCACTCAACATCGAGTTATCCATCTCCCGGAGCACAACAAACATTATATTAACTATTTTTTATCTTATTTAAAACTGGGCTCATATTGCAAGCGTATCTACTAGTTTTTTTTTATAAAGAGCTCTTATGAACCCTATTGTCGATAACCAGTCTCTCTCTCTCTCTCTCTCTCTCTCTCTTCAATGTCTGTCTCAACCAAAACATAACATCCAAACACTAAATTAGTTGCATCTTATATAACACACATATAATGTTATAACACTAATCTTATATAGACTTTTACGAATGTTTGTTTAAAAGGATATTAAATTACTTAATATTTACAAAATTACTTCAATAACATATGCCTATATATATCTTGACTTAATGTTTTATTTTTTTATAAATGTATTTGTAATACAATTTATTTTTGTAGTTAAAAATTAATTTATTGAGTTTCTTATATCATTTGCATTTCTATCAAATTGAATAAATAAATATAAATATTTTTTGTTGTTAGTTTTATTTTAGTAAAAATAAAACCTAATGATCGTAACTAAAATAGCTTAGTATTTAATAAAAAAAACAAAAAATAATAATAATAATAGTATTAATGTTTAGCAATTGTTTTTGATCCTTTATTTTCTATAAAATTGTTATACAATGTTATATACTGTATTTTCTATCATTAACTTTAAGTTATATTTATTTTATTTTTTGTTTGTTAATGCCTTTCTTAGTTTTTTTTTTAAATACATTTTACTGAAATAAACAATTTTGTTTTGAACTTTAATACACTTATAAACTCAACATATTTGTAATTTAATTTAATTTAAAAATACTTTGTGTATTTGTGTGTGTGTTTAAGTAACGCTAATAATATTGAACTCTCTCTCTCTCTCTCTCTCTCTCTCTCTCTCTCTCTCTCTCTCTCTCGATATAATTTATATATATATTTAACTTTTATATGCGATACTTACCGTTCAAATTAAATATATAAAGCCTAAGCTATACTTGTGTCGGTCGCACTCATAAGATCTAAACTCATTTGACCCAAACTTATTTGACCCAAATCATTTGACCCAAACTTACTTGACCCAACTCATTTGACCCAAACTCATATGACCCAAATCACTTGACCCAAACTTATTTGACCCAAATCACTTGACCCAAATCACTTGACCCAAATCATTTGATCTAAATCATTTGACCCAAATTACTTGACCCAAATCATTTGACCCAAACTTATTTGACCCAAATATTATTTTATTTTTTCAAACTATATAATATATATAAATGATACAAAAATTAATAAAATAATAATCTAAATAGTTATAAAATTTAGAACTTATTAATATTTATTTACTGTAAATAGTATTACATATTAATTTTTAAAAATATTATATAAAAAGACAGATATTACCAATTGGTTAAAAAATGAATATGGAATAAATATTAATAAGTTCTAAATTTTCTAACTATTAAGTTTTGTATCATTTATATATATTATATAGTTTGAAAAAATAAAATAATATTTGGGTCAAATAAGTTTGGGTCAAATGATTTGGGTCAAGTAATTTGGGTCAAATGATTTAGATCAAATGATTTGGGTCAAGTGATTTGGGTCAAGTGATTTGGGTCAAATAAGTTTGGGTCAAGTGATTTGGGTCATATGAGTTTGGGTCAAATGAGTTGGGTCAAGTAAGTTTGGGTCAAATGATTTGGGTCAAATAAGTTTGGGTCAAATGAGTTTAGATCTTATGAACTAGACCCTACTTGTGTAGACTCTCTATCCAATAAACTTTGGATCCTATTGTTCACTATTAGATAAAAGTGAGTTATAATATGTATGTAAGCCTTGAGTCTATTGAGTTTCAAATATATATATATTTTTATTTGACACACAATATGTTTTCTCTTATCATGTTTTCCATACATTATAACCAATAGACTTTAAAGACAGTATATATATTGTATATTTTTAATACAGTATTTTTAAGGCATTACATACTATAATTATTTTTAAAAAAAATAATAATTGTCGCACATATTTATATATAAATTTATAAATTTTGTAAATAAACTTTTATAATATGATAATTTTAATCAACTAAAGTGGCATATATTATATTAATGGCACATACTATTTACATTGATGGGTAAAGGGTGGTTAGTTTTTCAAAAATAACGGGGCATTCATTTACTTTGTGAATTGATTTTTCCTACTATTATATTATATACTATTATTATTATACAGTTTATGATGTTATATAACATTCCTTATGATTGTATGCATACATATATTATACTTAATAATATGTAATACAATAGAGAAAGGAGAGAGTGATTGGGTTTTTAAATTGAATCGTCATTTGAGAGTCATTTGAGTTAGTATTAAATAAAATGAGTTTAATTCAGCTTTTATTACCCATAATTACATAACTTTTTTTTATTTCAATTCTCTATCCTTTTCCAGTCAAAACCATAGATACTTAGTTTATTTGTAGGTCTTATGTAACGCATATAAAAACCCTATTGTGTGGAGACATATACTGACTGTATATTTAATGTAAAAACATTTTCGATTAATCATTCATTTGCATTGCATATCATATACATATAAATGCGATTAATGTTTGAATACGTGACTAATTAATGCAGTTTTTTTGTATGTGTGATACAAACGCTCTGATTATTGCACACATTATATTATATATATTAGAGACAACTTAAGCTATAAAAACAATGAGCTTTTTTGCTAATAATATATAATAATATTGTTATTATTTTTATATCTAATATTTTTTTATCGCCATTTGTGGTCACAGATAGATAGAGAGAGAGAGAGAGAGAGAGAGAGAGAGAGAGATAAAGTTGTTTTATGTTATGTAATGAATATATTACATGTATATTGACCTGGGAGATAACAATTACACTCGTAATATATATAGTTAATTTATATTTCTCAAATTAAAATAATGTTATTTTTGTTTAGTGTGTGTTTAATACTAAATAAAAAAAATTACAATTTTCTTCCTCTCTCTCTCTCTCTCTCTCTCTCTCTCTCTTCAAAACTACTAATTAAGTTATATAAGTACAGTATATTTAAGTTAAAGATTATATTTTTAGGTTTGTAGAGAGATTTATAAAGTTTAAAAAAAATTAAAATAAAATTCTCTATAAATGTAAGACAACATTTGAGACTAATTTGATTTTAA